TTGGAGAGGTTTTTGCTATAGGGCGCGTGCGCTCGCCAGACAGACAGAGAGAGACAGAGAGATAGAAAGCAGGAAATCACCCCCCAGGGGGGATGGCCACGCCGCAATCCCTTCTCCTCCATTCTCCTCTCGGGATCTTGGGCACGCACGCACACGTGCCCGGCGTGAGTTTAAGCCACCGGGTCCGGGACTCGAACCGCGGTCGACTACGTGGGAGTCCAGCGACATAGCCATTACGCTAACTGCTGGTCCCATGAGATTCCTCTTCTTGATAGTGAGATTTATGAAGTCATTCTGTGAAGAAACTGGCTATCAGGAGGAGTGAGAAAGGGGCCATTTGTTATTATTATTAATCCACACAGGATGAATTTGAAAGCCACAGCAAAAAAAAAGAGGATGTTCTTGACTTTCATCTAGATGACACTAAGCTAGTGAGATTAAGGAGAAAGAAATGGTCTCTGCTTGGTTTTCCAAAATGAAAATACTCTTTGTTTTTCCGATGTGACAATAATATTGGACTCGCATACAACCTGTTCCCCAGATCAGCCTCTCTCAGTGCCCTCATCCCATTGAGCTTTCCACCCCTGCTTCTCTGGGAACCAACCAGGAAATAAGAAAACACTGTATTTGTAGAATCCTGGGAGTTTAAATGCACAAAAGGGCTAAGGCAGAGTGTGGGGAAAATGGTAAAAACATGTGGAGGCTGGCCCAGAGGCAGCCTCTATATCGTGGGCACATTTGGGAGTTCTGCCCAGCTCACGATGCTGGCAGCCATTTTTACTCTGTAATCCCTCCCTCAATATTCCTGATTGGATAAGGAATTCGCTCCTGATGCAGCTGGACCAATCAAATTCTTTTTCTCCAGGAATTTGGAACACCAGGTAAGAGAAATCCAGACAGTGTCTTGTGAGACCATGGCTCGGACCATGATGCAGAAAAGGCCAAGAAGAGAGGGAGAGTAAAGCTAGCTCCTAGACAGAGGAGAGACAGGAGTGGGGAAGGCTCCACTCAGCACGAGTTTGGGCATGAGCCTCACGTTGTTAGGAAGTTTGTCTCCTTATGAAAATACCCATTTTGCTTAAGACGTCCTGAGTTGGGTTCTGTTCCTTGTAAACAAGAGAGTCTAAGTACCATAGACACAATGGTGCAAAGGAGCATGTGCTGGTGGGAGG